CAAAATTACTTCAACGGAAGGTTAGATGATGGATGCTTATTTACCTCATTTCCACTACCCTTTAAACCGTGCCGAGATCGTTAACAGAGATAACTGTTGAGTGTATATAGCACGCAGAACTGAACTGTACCGTGCCAGACCCAACGGTACCGTGCTAACATGGTACTAGTTCATCAGTGGGGCTCGGCGCGGTTCAGTTCTTGCATGAGCAGACCGCCTCATCTCCTCACAGTCAGCCTCCATAATCAGGAAGTTAATAAAATCCTAGCTTCCCTACCGCGCCGCACGATTTCCAGTGATTATTCTGTTTAGCAGTGCGATGAACCTCAACGTTTGTCGTTGTTTCCTGCATCTGGAAGCCCTGATTAGACGATCGTTTGTCGTATCCACTTCCCAAAAGCCGACTCTGTCAATAGATTCACCAAAGGCTGCCTTCTTCTCCTGACTCTCCGCAAACAACAAAATACCACAAATATAACCAAGTTCTGTAATGTAAGTTCTGTTTATATACGCTGATGCCCAAAACTAGAAGGATCTTCTGCTGTTTTGCACTTGATCTTGAGCAGCCTTTGGCTGAAGGCTCTTCGTTGTTGTTTTATAGTCTTTTGAGGAGGATTCTCATGGTTTTCCATCATTTTCTTCACTTTATAAAGAATTCCTCTTTGTGAAATCAAGTGTAGAAATTCTAGAGGAGTTCCAGCCGTGAGTTTTCCAGCCTTCTTTAAATCTCTGCTCTTATCGTCAGAAAGCAGGGAGATGATGGTGTTGGGGATATTTTTCTGCTAACAACATTTAGCAAAACTAAAAATACTGTATTCCCAATATTCCTGCTCTGCATTCACTCTACCTCCTTTTCAGCTCAAACACATTTTCATGTCTGTAAAAGTCAGAGATTAAATATAACTTTCGCAGAAAGTAACACGCAGCTATAAACCGCCATTAAACGGTGAGCAGTGACAGGCGGCCTTCACAGCTGTTTGACTACAAATGTTGGGAGGAACTTATTACATCATCTTCTATCTGACATTGGTTGATGGGACCCTATTGCAGTTAAATCTTTGGTTCAATTATCATGGCTCCAGATGTTAGAAGCTCCAACATCCATCAGAAACACTTCTCCCTGACCCTGCGATCATTCAACAGGTTCTGTAGGAAGGCTGTGTTTATGACTAGATGATGGGTCGATGAGAGCATGTCTCTGGATGTTGGTGTCGCTGCTATGAGCAGCCTGTAGGAGGCTCCATTCAGACCCCTGGGAATGTTCAGAACGACCGGTGGACCGGGAGTTTGAATTTACAGAGATGATAGAAATTCTATTCATTACGGTTCTTTCCTCTCTTCTCATGGCAGCATAGCACTGACAGGATAGTGATGTAGAAAAACCTTTATGTAACTAGAAGATTGGAAACAGTCTGTGGACAATGTTGGCTCAGTCTAACTACACTCAACTAGATATATATATATATATATATATATATATATATATATATATATATATATATATATATATATAGAGAGAGAGAGAGAGAGATATGTGTGTGTGTTTTCCAGCCACTTTTGTTAAAATGATCATTTTCTCATTCTCTAGCTTCTTTTCCGAACGACTTTATGATTAACCGGAAGCAGTTCTGCACAAATATATTGCTATTTAATATGTCTGATGAAATTGTTTTTATAAACGTATTTTGTTTTATTAAATAAAGCATTTTAAATATCAAGATCATTTCATTTGATGAATTTTAGTGCCAATTAAGGCCTTAATTTAAAAAATAACAATTTAATGACTTTTATTGATGTTTAATGACCAGTGTTAACCCTGGTTTAAACCAGTGACCTAGCAGCTGGTCATGTGACAGGGATTTAAATCCCCGCGAGGCGGACGCTTTCAGCCGCTCATCTT